CCATTACTTAGAATTTAAAAAAAAAAAAAGTTAAAATACCAATTTCAAAATAAAAAAAAAATCTTGATTTTAAATTTATTTATTGATTGCATGAACCATCTAAGATCACATTTATGATGGGTTTAATATGGCAAAATCAGCATTGAGATTAAAGAACTTGCACGGTTAAACTTCAATGATTAGTTTCCTTAATGGCTAATAAATCATACGTATTGAATTGTCATATAACAAACTATTTAAGTATGAGCTTGGGGAAGCATGGATTTGTGCAAACAAACTTTGTACAATCCAAGCCATGCCAATGCATTTCAAAGGAAATTTGGACAATGTGTGGTGAGGTCTTGATAGGAAAGGAAGCAATGGCGATCAACTTCACCTAAATCCACTTTGCATAAGAGCAAGAAGAAGGATAGGCAGAACCAATTGGACTGGACTATGTTGATCTAATTTTGTATAATTTGACCAATTTAATGCTCAATTGTATTCCCTAATCTTTCAACTTTATTATTTTTGCGATTACCGTAATAAGAACAATTTTTTATTGTAAATTTGCCACCTTTGGTCTCCCATTGGGGATTTTAGTGCCAACAGGCATCCCGGACCCGCGGGTAGATAGGTCCAAAATCCAATTTTTTTCCAAATGTGTATGGGAGAGTTTGATGAATCACGTTGGCCACCAGAGGCTTTGAATAGGCGGGGTATGACCTCTAAATACCAAGATAGATGTTAAACATGTCTCGTGTTGGAATTAACATCACCCCACAGTGAATTCTCCCGGATAGGGCTAATTTGAGATTTACCACAGTTCTGTACTTGAGGAGCATACCAAATTGTCTGAACGGATGTTCCAGGCTATGAGAAGCTGTAAACAATCCTGTAGCTCTCAAGTAGACACAAACATATATGACATCCAAAAGTGATGCCAACAAAGGAGCCCCAACAAGTGTGTTGTGTCATTGAGGCACAATGTACTTGTTGGAAGCATCCTAAAATCTTCCTTGGTGGTTGGAACACCATCCTAAGGAGAAAATAAACAAAGGAATCAACATGGACATGGGATAGGGTATGACTGAGGCGATGGCTACGTCAAGAAGAAAATGCTAGGATTCACATCCAATCCTGTGAGCCAATCAAAATATATAGAGCTTGATCACACTAGGGAGGGATGCAATAGTTCCCATACGGACTTAAGAGGTAAACACGGTGGCTAGGTTTGGTAGGAACATACGAGGGCTCACATCTTATCTGAGGGCTAGCCATAACAAACTGATCAGGAAAGAAAGCTCTAAGACTCTTGTCTTCCTCAGGACTCGATCAGGCCAGATTTACTAGATAGGGTATGGCCAAGGGGTGGCTAGCTAACTGAAACTGACTACCCACAAAAAGGACTCAACCAGGTCAGATTTACTGGATAAGGTATGAGTGAGGGGTTTTGTAGTAGCATATCTGTCTGTCTAACCTATACTTCTAAAAAAAAGACGGAGGGAGCCAGAGGGGTCACACTTCACGTTGGAGGTTCGATCCTCCCACACGGAACACTTCAAAGGCTAGTAAGATTATGTCAAAATTCAAAAGCTTGCAAATTTATGTAATTATATGACTCTTGTATTTATTTGATCATGTAAACACACCAAGGAGCTTTACAGAGAGTCATCTATCGCAGATTTGCAGGTCCTTACGCATCGACGCGTGGGCACACAACAGTGGGTATTCGACTACTCTCATCGTGTTAATGTAATTTTTAAAAGATTGATTCTATTAATATGTCAATTAATGCTTAAAATGCCAAATAATATTTTGAATTTTTTTATGCAGGAGGAGCATGCGCAGCTTCAGGTGAGACAGCGGGAGATGACTAGCTAGATCTCACCATCCGTTAGCAGTGGTAGCTAGTTTACCACTCACTACGCAGTTTGATTTTGAATTATGAACACATGCGAAAGGGAAGAAGAAGCAGAGAGTGTACGACCTCAGAGCAAAGATGATAGTGTTTGAGGTCGAATGTTCCTAAGCAGTTGTAGGTGGCCCTAGCTCATTACAGGCTCAACATGAAGAGCTTGTCAGGCGTGGATAATGATGAATAAAGACCCTCGACATGTGGCCAACAACTCGTTGCAGATAGCCTAGCATGCCTGATGGAGAGTTTTGATCTGCTGAGCAAGCAACACATGCGTCTGGTCGAGGATGAAGAGGAGTAGGATGATGATGAGGATGAAGATTAGGTTTTTTTCTTTGTTTGATCATGTTCGTTAGCATAGGGGCTGATTTTATGTTTTTTTTCATTATTGTATAGTATGAACTTTCAGTTTCTTGTATTGTGATCACTTTAATCTATTTATGTTTAAGCAGATTTGGTATCATTATGTGTGTGTTGGAGATTTCTTTTTTGAGTTGTGATGATAGAAAAATATCATATTATGTTGATTGTGCTTGTTATGTACTTGTAAATGGAAATCTAATTGTTTTGTTGCTTTTTTTTTTTTTGTTTCTTATAGGTTAGTGTAGAAAAATTCCGACGCTAAAATCTACCATCAACCAACAATACAAGCCGACACTAAATCGACGCAATAACGTCAAAAAAGTCCGACACTATTAAATCAACATTGAGATTAAAAAACTTGCAAGTTTAAACATCAATGATTAGTTTCTTCAATGGCTATTAAATCATATGTATGAATTGTCATATATAACATATTTAAGTATGACTTTGGGGAAGTATGCATTTGTGCAAACAAGGTTTGTACAATCCAAGTCATGCATTTCATAGGAAAGGAAGCAATGGCGATCAACTCACCTAAATCCACTTTGCATCAGAACAAAGAGAAGGATAGGCAGAACCAATTGGACTGAACTATGCTGATCTAATTATGTAGTTTGACCAATTCAATGCTAAATTTGTTTGTAAATTTGCTATCTTTGGACTCCCATTGGTCCTTCAATTAGCTTTAGAAATTACTATCAGTTTTGTACACTCTTTCCATATTTTCTGAGCTGGTAATGAACCTTGTAGTATAATTAAAAGATTATAATGAAGGAGGCCTTTATATATAGACATGCAACATTGGATTATCACACAAAGAATTAAAATTTTAGCAATTCTTGAAGTAATAAATATCAAACACTATTTCTTATAGAGAGAATTATTAACATGTGATGACTCAAAGTAATTTAGATCTATCATTAAAAATAAAATATAGACTACGGATCCATTTTGAGTGGCAGTACGACACCACACCACTGTTTTATCTGTTTGGGTAAAGTGTCACTGAAATCTGTGTTTTCTCACCGGTCCTGACTAGGTGTGGTGGTAGCTTTCTAGCTAGGGTTTGACTTTTTTTTTAAAAAAAATCGTGATGATCACCACAACTTTTTGAACATCAGATTATTTTTCAATAGTTTCACAGTTATTTTTTTATAATCTGCAGCTGCCCCAAATAGACCCGTAAATCTTAGCCTTTGCTGTTAGAATTAAATGATTAATTGATGAATCTCGTGTACACTATGAAACTATTCATATGACATCCAAATTTCAAATCTCCAATTCACTAGAGGACACTCTCCACTTACAAGACAATGTGCTTCAAAGCTCACACTTACAAGACAATGTGCATGAATGCTCACACTTCTTATAAGTCAAAAGAATGGGCTACATGTATTAATATATGCTAATGTGGTGAAAATGAACTAAAATTTTGAGATTATATATATAAATTTAGTTGGGAATATTACATCACAATTTGAATCCCATCGCAATCCAACTGATCTCAATCCAAGTTAAGTGTGTTGTTGATTGAGTTAATCATATTAGTTTTAATTAGAGTCAAAATTGGGCCATAATCATTGGCCAAATAATAATAATAATAATAATAAAATTGTAACCAAATCTAAATATAATTATAATAAACATTTTGTTATTAATTTATTTTGACATTAATATAATATATGACTAACAAATCAACTACGTCATTACATTCATATTAAAATAAATTTAATAACAAAAAAAAATTTCTATTCTTACCCAATTTGGTGTAAGTGAGAATTGGCTCATGAGCTGAGTTCGATGAGCGAACAAACCAAGCTCAAGCTAGCTCTGACTAGACTCGTTAGCTCGTGAGTCTAACTTGTCTTAAAAAATATTAATATATAATATACTCATAATATATTTACTTCAAATTTTGTATTTTATATCATGAGATTTCTTATTATTTTTCTTCTATTTCTCATTGTATTTATCACTTTATTATAATACTATCTTAAATTAATATTATTTTGTCTCTTTAAGAATAAATAAGTCGGCTCGTGAGCAAGCTCAAACACGTAGATTTAAACCCGAGCTCGGGTTTGAATTTGATAAAATTAATAAAGCTTAAACTTAAGCTCAAGCTGAGGGCGGCTTATACTCAACTCGAGTCGTTTACACCCTTATATATAAGATTATTATTTTGTTTTAAAAAATGAAATTGCATAGATTTAAAGTATATATCAATATGGAAATTTAGATTACATAAGAAATATGTGCTAATTCTATATATGTCAGCCCC